CCACGAGGAGCCCGAACGAGTCACACCAGGAGGAGGGGCCCGAACGACTCACACCAGGATGAGGGGCCCGAACAACTCACACCACGAGAAGCCCGAACGACTCACACCAGGACGAAGAGCCCGAACGACTCACACCACGAAGAGCCCGGACGACTCACACCAGGAAGAAGGGCCCGAACGACTCACACCAGGACGAGAAACCCCAAACGACTCAAATCACGAGGAGCGCTTTCTCTCCCTCCTCCTCCGCCTCGTCCTTCTCCCGCTCCCCCCACAAGGAGGATGTACAAGGAGGCGGGCGGAAGGAGGAACAGGGGAGATATGCGGGGCCAAGCGGACACACGCCTGAAAAACACGACTGTCGGCATGCTTCGCAAGAGTTGCTGCTGTGAGATGGGCTGGTGGGGATACGCGAAGCGTAACGAATTTCGGTACTTTTTTGGTGCTCGACATTCTTTTTGCGGTGATCAAGGCTAAAATACGTTGGAACATCATAGTGCTTGACACCTCCGAACACACACGATCAAATCATTTTCTCTCCTCGCATCGCCGCGGTGCTCGGTAGGGAGCACTGGCCGCCGCGGCCGGGCACCAGGGGCGGCCCGGTCGGTGGGCGGCCAGAGTAAGGGGCGGCCGAGCGGGGGCGGGGATAGCGCGCGATTGAGCGGGGGGGCGATACATGGGGGGGCAACGATAGCTGGGGGATAAGCCTAGGGGGGGGTGCATCGACCTGGAATCGGCGATACCTCGCCGATAGATCGGCGATAGGCCCCCGATAGCGAATCCGCACCTTCCTGGGCGGCTTGGGGCTATCGGGCCCCTATCGGCGATCAGTGGGCGATTGAGGGTCGATGCATCCCCCCCTATGCCTATCCCCCCCTATCGTTGCCCCCGAATATATGGTGGGGGGACAGAGGTGCCCTCTTCGGGACTCAGAGGCCCCCTTCAGGGCCGTAAGGTTCGGTCGGGCATGTCCCCCTACAGGCCGCTTTTGGACGAAAAATGAAATACTCTAACAAATAACCAACAATTCTCAAAAATAGTCAAAACATCGCCCCAAGACCTACCTATACGACCACCCTGCGGGTGATAAGGAGGTGAGAGGGGAGGGGGAACTAACGTCTCACTCAATCGATCTCGCTATCGATGACACATTCGATCTCACATTCGATCTCACATTCGATATCACTGTCGATCTCGCTATCGATCTCACAATCGATCTCACAATCGATCTCACAATCGATCTCACATTCGATCTCACTATCGATCTCACTGTCGATCTCACAATCCGAGGCGAAGGAGGACACGGTTCGAGGCGAATCTAGCCGTGGCGACGAGTGGCCGATCTCACAATCAATATTACCATCGACGTCGTCATCATCATCATCATCATCATCATCATCATCATCATCATCATCGACATCACCATCAACATCATCATCATCATCGTCATCATCATCATCACCATCAGCATCATCATCATCATCATCATCATCATCAACGTCGTCATCATCATCACAATCATCATCACCATCATGGCCATCATCACCATCATCACCATCAGCATCGCACAATCGATCTGATTATCGATCTCACAGTCGAACTCCCAATCGATCTCACAATCGACGCCATCATCATCATCATCGTCATCATCATCATCACCATCATCACCATCATCACCATCATTACCATCATCACCATCATCACCATCATCATCTCACAATCGATCTGACTATCGATCTCACAATCGATCTCACTATCGATCTCACAATCGATCTCACAATGACGTCATCATCATCATCATCATCATCATCATCATCAACAACAACAACACCAACATCATCATCATCGCCATCATCACCATCATCATCATCATCACCATCACCATCACCATCATCATCATCATCATCATCATCATCATCATCATCATCATCGTCATCATCGTCATCATCATCATCCACATCATCATCATCATCATCATCAGGACACCGACGGGACACCGACGGGACACCAGCGGGACACCGGCGGGACACAGCGCGCCACCGGCCGCCCGGAAGAGACACATTTGGTCAGGTCGCGCCTCAGCCACAGGGACACCGACGGGACACCAGCGGGACACCGGCGGGACACCGCGGGCCCCTGGCCGCCCGGAAGGGAGACTTTTGGTCCGGCCGCGCCTCAGCCACAGGAGGCTTTCTCTCGCCCGCCCACGCACGGCACGCACGCACGGCACGGCACGCACGAACACGAAACCGAAATCGATTTCCCGGTAGGGGGGCTCTCCGTTCCACTTCGATCTCACCCCCTCACCTCCGATTTTTCAATGTCCCCCCTGTAGAAGGACAGGCCCGACTTCACCGTCAGGGGCCCCTTTCGGTGCCCCCCTACTGTGCGTCCTCCGACCGGGGCGGGGCGCAGGCGGAGCCGCGTGCGGGCGCCAGGCCGGGCCCCGCGCCGGTGGAACAAAAAAGCCTGCACAACAAGAAGTGGAGACTGCAGGAGGTTCCGCGGCGCCTCCGGCGCCGCCCCCGGCGCGCTCCGCGCGCCAGGGAGGGGGCCCCGGAGCCGACCCACGATCCCCTTGCGGACCTCCGCCATCTCCTGTCTCATGTATAGGCAAGCGCGTTCCACTACCCGCAAAGTCACTTCTCGCAAATAGCCTGGAGCCGTCGTGGGGGCTTTACGATATGTATATACACCGAGGCGAACGTTGCTTTTCTCTCGGACGCTCGCGAGGAGGCACTTTGCGAGCAATGGAACGCGCTCGGTGAATGTACCCAGACCCCCGACGTCGCGATTTTTCCGCAACGTCGACCCCCAGAGGTCTGGACCCTTTCCCCGGGACCGGTTTTTCATCCTGAATCATTTTCTGACGGTCCCGAAGCCCGGGAAGGGACCCCGGAGGCCGACAATAGTGAGAAACCTCCCGTCGTGATTTTTTCACGGCGCGAGGAGGTCTGGGTAATCCTCCTGCCGCGAACTGGGCGCGGTACTTGCCCGAAGTGTTCCCCCCGCCTGCCGAGGGCGAGGGCGAGCCGGGGCGGCCGCTGCGCGCGGGGGGGGCGCTGGGGGCGCCCGCGGCTCGGCGGCGCCATGGCGTCCAGCCGCGCCGCTGCCGCAGGCACCTCGCTGGTGGCCCTCCGTCTCGGTGTCGGCGTCCGGCGCTGGGGCTGTGCGGCCGCCTGGTCGTCGTGCTGGGGTTCGGTCGGGCCTGTCCCCCAACAGGCGGATTTCTGGAGAAAAAAGATACTGAACAAATGCCCCCAAACGTGCCCCAAGATACTCGAAACATAGTCCCCAGACTATGCTTTTACTACTTTGGAATGTTTCCCCTGTAGAGGGACGGGCCCGCCTTGATGCTGGGGCGCTGCACCGCCGCGCCGCCTCCGCCCGCCCAGGAGCGCTGCGCCGTGCCTGCCCCTCCGCTCCAGGCCGAGCGCCGGGGCGTCGTGCTGCGCGCGCTGGGCGAGCAGCGGGATGCCTTCGCCCTGTCCGGGGGTCCCGTATCCGCAGAACGTGCGCAAGCTCTGCCCAGATCCATCGAGATTCTGCGTGTGCGTGTTGCAGGCTCCCACGAGCAAATCAGGAAATCAACGATGTAGTCGATCCCCTGCTCGGGCCCTTCCGTCCGCGGCCCCGCCGGCGCCCAGGACGCGCCGCCCGTGCCCGCCGCTGCACCGGCCGCTCCGCGGGAGGCCCAGTCGTTGGGGCTGCGTGCTGGCCGCGGTGCGGCCGCGGCGCCGCGCTGCGGCCTCTGCCCCGGCCTCGCGTCCGTTTGCCTCACCGGGGATCCGACGTCCCGACTGTGTCCATCCGGGGTCCCCCAAATGTGGGTGACCCAAAGGGGGGCTCCAGCTGAGAAAGGTGGTGGTGCAATAGATTTCGGGCAATTGTTTTGCACATGTACTGCCTGGAGAATCGTACTGCACTGTCTTGCAAGTAATGCATTGCACACGAAAGTCCAGCAAAACATCTGCGCCCCCGATTGTATTGCACGCCCCGAATTTATCGCAACCCCACAAATCTGTTGCACCAGATTTTATTGCACCTCCCCCTTGTCGCTGGAACCCCTTCTGGGTCAATCCGAAGTCTCGACCCGCTCTCGAGGAACAGCTTCTCCTCCCTCCAGTGGCCGCACACGGCGAACAAAAACACCGCCGTCTTGATTTGTTCGGTACGGTAGCCAGAGATCCCACGCATTGAAGAAATCAAGACGGAGGTTTTTCTAAATTTTCAGCCTCTGGGGGCCCTCGCCAGACCTGGGACCGTCAAAAAACGACTCAGGATGCAGAACGGGTCCTGGTCGAGACTTCGGGGGACCGCGTGTTGAACAAATCACGATATCGGATTTCTGGGAAATTGGGTTCGTGCGGCGTTGGCGCGCGCAACGGTTTTTCTGCGCCGACTGTTCAGCCTCGAATCGATCGCGGCCCCCACCGTTCAACGTTGTCTCTCGGGGCTTCTGCGTCCACGACTGCAATCTTGAACGCCTTCGCCGGCGTCGCCGGCGCGCGAACGCCGCATGGACCTATTGTACGTCGGATCTCTGGGTCTCGCCCCCCAGCCCCCCGACGTCATGATCGTTTCATGACGTCGACCCCCAGAGGTCTCGACCCCTTCCGCAGCACCGGCTTCTCATCCTGAGTCGTTTGTTGACAGCCCCGAGGTGCGGCGAGGGCCCCCAGGGGCCAAACATGGCGAAAAACAGAACCTTTCCGTCGTGATTGTTCCATGATGCGAGGGGTAGGTCGGGCATGTCCCCCTGCAGGCGCATCTTGGACGAACAATAACAAATACCCGAGATGTCTTCAAACATTGTCGAACATGGTTGGAACATCGTCCCCTGACTATCTTCTTGATCATTTTGAACTTCCCTGCTGTCGCGGGACAGGCCCGACTTCACGCGAGGGGGTCTCGCCCCCGGGTCGGGGCCGATGTCCAGCGCCCGCGGGGCCCCCGGCGTGGGCCGCCGGCCCCGGGCGCGCGCCCGCGCTGCCGCGTCACGCCAGGATCAGCCTCGGGCGCGCCCCGGCGGTGAGGGCCCGCGCCTGCGCCTCGGGCGGCTCGCTGCCGCCGCCCGACAGGAAGGGCGAGAGGACGTACGTCAGCGCACCGCTGCTCGCATCCTCCCGCAGCGCAGAAGCCCGCAGACCCCCCAGGCCCCCCGACGTCGTGATTTTTCCACAGCGTCGAGCCCCAGAGGTCTGGACCCCTTCCCCGGGACCGGCTTTTCATCCTGCATCGTCTTGTGACGGTCCCGAGGCCCAGCAAAGGGACCCGGGAGGCCGAACATAGCGAAAAACTTCCCGCCGTAATTTTTCCACAGCGCGAGAAGGTCTGAGAAACCCGCAGACCCCCTCGAATCGTGGACAAACACCACGTCGGGAAGCTCTTCGCTCTTCTCGGCCTCTGGGGGCCGCTCCCAGGGCCTCTGGGCCATCAACAAACGACTCCAGTTAAGTCGGGCCCGTCCCTGTACAAGAGGAAAACACAAAAGCATTGAACAAATAGCCAAGGAAAGATTTGTACTATTGGTGGTTCTCTTTTCATATGTTTGGATTACCTTTTACCTTTCGCACGAAATCCGCCTGTAGGGGGACATGCCCGACCTAAGACTCGGGACGAGAAACCGGTCCCGGGAAGGGGGGCCGACGTGGTGAACAAATCACGACGTCGGAGGTCTGGGAAAGAGTCCAGACATCCGAGCGACGATCAAAAACAGGTCTCACGCGAGATGGCACAGTGACCTCTACGCCGCAGCTTGCGCGGGCCGCTCGCGCGGCACGCCTCACGGGAGACGAGGGCGTGTAAGCAGCGACCTTACGCGGGCAACGCAACTTACGCACGAATGTCGACGCAAACGATGCTTTTTTTACGACGAAATCGAGGCTGAATATGTTCCTTGTTTCCAGCCTCTCGGGGCCCTTACCGGGCCTCGGGGCCGTCAAACAGCTGCTCGGGATGAAACACGGGCCCCGGGGAAAGGGTCGATAGGTCGGGGGGGGGCCCTGTCTCGAAACAGTCGAGACGCCGGATGCACGGGAGCGGGTCCTGAGGCAGAGGGTGACGGGATCTGCTCAGATCCACTGCCCCAGGCCTGGCCCACCCTGGGCCCAGGAGCGGCGTGTACGCCTCCGTGGCCAAGCCAGGATGAGGTCGGGCGTGTCCTCCTACAGGCGGATTTTGGACGAACAACCAGGAAATACTTCAAAAACACCAAACTTGTCAACACATGTTGGGCTATTCTTGAACAGTCCTCCCGTCGAGGGACGTGCCCGACTGAAAGCCAGGAGGTCGCGAGGGCACCGCTCCTGGGCCCCCGGCGGGCCAGGCCTCGGGCAGCGGACGTGCAGCCTTAGGTCGGGCGTGGCCCCCTACAGGGGGGTGTTGGACGGACCAGTAAAAATAGTCAAGCCACCCATTTTCCCAAAGAGTCAATGCTAGTAACAAAAATCGTCCGCAGCCGATTTTTTACACGCCCGACTTAAGACCAGCTCCCGGCCCCGAGGCGTCGTCTGACAGTGCCCGAGGGGGCCCCGGGAGTGCCCCGGGGTGCCGAAAGCGGCGAGCGGCCGCCGCTTGGGGGCGCGTGCCGGCCAGGATTTCGGAGCGAGTCCGGTGGTGACGACGCGACGACGCGAGGGTCTCCCAGGAAGTCCCCAGAGGACAACGAGGCAAGGGCAGGGAGATATATGATGCAGTATCCAAGACCGTTTCCCCCCCCCCCTTCATGCGCGATGGATGAAGTGAAACTGCTACACTTGACGGAGGGGAGGTGCCAGTCTGCAATGGTGCATACAAGCCTCAGCGGAAATTTACGTGGTGGCTCACAAAAGTTCACGTCGTCGACGGTGTCTTTCCCGTCGTCGCCTCCATCTGGGTGTGGCGTGGTGTTGCGGTGCTTCAGGGAGCCGGAGCGACGGTGTCTTCGTCGTCGTCGTCGCCGTCCCCCCCCATCCCATCCTGGGGGGGGCCGAGGGACCCTGAGACCCATCCCATCTGGGAAGGGGGGCAGTGGGCCCGGAGCTCAGCATCAAATGGGTACTCCAGATTTCGTAAGACAGGGAAGGGGGTCACAACCCTCTCAGACGATAAGTTTTAGACCCCCCCAAACCATCCACGAAAGAGCGGCCCTTTGCCCAGACCCCCCCCGAACCCTCCAAGACAGCTCAAATCAGACCCCCCCACAAATGTGACCCCCACCACTTTATGGTGGAATCCGGAGTACCTGTTCCTCCTCCGAACTTCCCTCAGGACCACTTTTCCTCAATGCATGGCGAATTCTTGTGGCACACCCGGAATGGGTACGGAAAGAATGGATACGATGCCACACCGCAGATGCTGTCCGAAACCGACAGCAGCTGTCGCTGGACAAGCGACCTGTTGATTAAAACGGACAACCGCCGTCGCGACGCCGACAGCGAACCCTGTTCAAAACGGACAGGGACTGCTGTCGGCCTTCCGTGGAGGAGAAGGAGGATGAGGAGGAGAAAAAGGGGGGGAGGAGGAGGAGGAGGAGGAGGAGGAGGAGGAGGAGGAGGAGGAGGAGGAGGAGGAGGAGGAGGAGGAGGACCAGTGCAAACCCAAGAGTCATCAACGATGTTGGAATTAACCCTCCCTCCACGCTCCCTCTTCATAGGCCCCTGCAACGGTTCGTTTCCATTGAGGAAACTGCCTCGTTGGAAGACAACAGTTTGAAGATCCTGAAGCGTGCCAAAACATTGTTCTCGGGATTTCAACGTCACGTATCAACCTGGCTGCTGCGTCTTGACGATCCAGAATCGCGCCAAAGCGCCAGATCCGTGAAACTCTTGCAAGGTTTGTAAACGAATGTGTGCGGCGCTAAGGCGAGAGCCTCATTTTGAAAAGGAGCCGCCCTCAATCAGTGAAACTCCTGCAAATGTTAAAAACGAATGTGCGCGGCGCTACAAGGATAATCACATGTTGAAAACCACCTGCCCTCAATCCGTGAAACTCTTGTAAATTTTGAAAGCGAGAACCACATTTTGAAAGCCACCCGCGCTCAATCCGTGAAACTCTTGCAATGTTTGAAACCCATATGCGCGGCGCTATAGCGAGAACCGCATTTTGAAAACCACCCGCCCTCGATCCGTGAAACCGTTGAACATTTACAAATGAATGTGCGCGGCGCTAAGGCAAGAGCCACATTTTGAAAACCACCCGCCCTCAATCCGTGAAACTTTTGCAAATCTTTAAAACGAATGCGGGCGGCGCCAAGGCGACAACCACATTTTGAAAGCGACCCGCCCTCCATCTGTGAAGCTGTTGTCACTTTTTCAGAGTCATAACTGGTGAGGAAGCCTTATACGAAACGCCCGGCTCGCCCTAAAACCGGCCTCGGGGTGCGACAACGAGTGATCTACAAGGAGAAGGAATGGGGACGGAGAGGAAGAGGAGAAGGAGGAGGAAGGAGAGGAAACTGGGGGAGGAGGATGGGGACGGAGAGGAAGAGGGGAGGAAAACAAAGAGGAGGAGGAGGAGGAGGAGGAGGAGGAGGAGGAGGAGGAGGGAGAAAGAGGAGGAGGGGGGGGGGGGAGGAGGAGGAGCTCACCTCCTTGCCGTGCCCACTTCGCTCGTCTCGGTCCTTGGCCTTGGACTGCTCCGGCGCCCGCGGGCGGGGCGAAGGCGCGCGCGGGTGGCCAGCGCCGTCCCCGGCGGAGGCGCCGCCCCCGTCCGGGAAGGGGCCGCGGCCGCCGAGGCCCAGCCGCAGCTCGGAGTTCTCGCGCGCGAGCCGCACGAGGTGCTCCCGCAGGTGCTCCAGCATCACCTGTCTTTTTGTTGGTCACGGTGGGCGGACATGAGGGCCAGGCCTGCTGCGTTCCTCGAGAGAAAGAAAGGGAGAGAGAGAGAGAGGTAAACAAAGAACAACAAGAGAGAAATAGGGATAGAGAGAGAGAGAGAGAGAAACATAAAAGAGAGACCGACGGAAACAACTAATCCGAATGAATCAAGGCTGCTGCCAATGCGGACGCAAAAGATGCCGACCGAAAGCGCTGGTGCACTTAAGCATGGGGGGCGGGTCCTGAAGGCGAACGGGTCCTGGACCTAGGTCGGGCGTGTCTCCCTTCAGGCAGGTAAAAAAACGTCCCCAGACTGTGTTTGACTATTTTAGAGCATTCCTCCTGTAGAGGAACATGCCCGACTTAATCCTTGACCCCAGGGTCCCCCCCCAGGACCAGTTCTTCATCATGAACCGTTTTCCGACAATACTGGGGCCGTGGGGGGCCCCGAGAGCCCGAAAACGGCGAAAGCCCTCGGGACCCAGTTCGCTCAGGACCCGCTGCGCCCCAATGCGAACAATCCAGCGTCACCTGCGTCTTCTCAGACAAGTCGCGGAGGCAATGCTCGTATCGTCAGCGTTGGCGGGCTATCGCCCGCCTGCCTCTTCGCACACGAAGAAGCCGCAAGGTGATGGCAACGAAAACGGGCCTCCACCACGGTGAGGATCACGTCCACCCCGTCCCGTCTTTCCCTCCATCCCTGCTTCTCCCCGGATCCAGCATCACCTGCTTCTCCTCCTCCACCGCGCCGATCTTCTGCCGCAGCTGCGCCAGCTCGCCGCCCTGGATGGGAGGGCGCCAACTCTACACACACATTTTTTTTTTTTTTTTTTTTTTTTTTTTTTTTTTTTTTTTTTTTTTTTTTTTTTTTTTTTTTTTTTTTTTTTTTTTTTTTAAAAAAAAAAAACTATTTATACATCAATATACACACACACACCACACCCACACCACACCCACACCACACCCACACCCACACCCACACCCACACCCCACCCCCACACACACACACACACACACACACACACACACACACACACACCACACACACACACACACACACACACACACACACACACACACACACACACACACACACACACACACACACACACACACACACACACACACACACCACACACACACACACACACACACACACACACACACACACACACACACACACACACACACACACACACACACACACACACACACACACACACACACACACACACACACACACACACACACACACACACACACACACACACCTCTTCACACACATCGAAATCCTCAAGTCTTCTTGGGCTTGGCGCGTGCCCCCTGGGGCTCCCAGCGTGGTGGCGAGTGACCTTTTCGGGCCCAAGGGGGCTCCCTCACGGACCCAGAGGGCACCAGGACGCCCCAAAGACGGTCCAAGAGGGCACCGACTCGCCAAAAGATCGCTCCAAGACGCTCAAGATGATCCCTAGACGGTCCAAGGGGCCTCCGAGACGCCCAAGGAGGCCTCCGAGAGGCCTCCCAAGACGGCCCCAAGAGGCCAAAATCATTGATTGTCCCTAGGTTTTCGCAGGATTTGGGCGTTCTTGCCGTTTCGGCTTCCCGACGCTCCCAGACGTCCCCAGAGGCATCCAAAACCGCCCCAAGACGGCCCCCAGACGGCCCAAGAGGCGCCCAATAGAGCCCCAAGACGGCCCCAAACGGGTTCAAAAGAGGAAGCACGAACCGAACAACTGGAGCTTCCGCCCCAAGAGGTCCCCAGGAGGCCGCAAGAGGCGCCCAGGAAGCCCCATGAGGCCGCATGGAGGCCCCACGAAGCCCCAAGAGGTCCCCAAAAGGCCCCCAAACGGCCCCAAGGAGGCGTCCAAACTGCCACCAAGAGGCCCCCGAGACGCCTCCCACGAGATCCCAACGAACATCAAATAGGCTGCATAGCCACAACCCAGGCACGGTTGCGGGATGGGCCGAAGACCATTCGATATAAATATGTATATATATATATATATACATATACATAATTGTCCCGGCAAAGCAACCTAACAGCGATGTGTAGAAGCATATCTGAAAGCATTCCCCTTAAGATTCAGATGAAAATCCAGTTGTAGAATTCTGCTGTTCTCGCAGTCGTAGTCGCATTCGCGATGACAGTCGCAGCGGCAACGGCAGTCGCAGTCACAGCCTCAGCCTCAGCCTGCCTCCTCCTCCTCCTCTTTCTCCTGCTCCTCCTCCTCCTCCTCCTCCTCCTCCTCCTCCTCTCTCCTCCTGCTCGTCCTCGTTCTCGTCCTCCTCGTCTTGCTCGTCCTCCTCCTCCTGGTGCTCTCTCCTCCTCCTCCTCCTCCTCCTCCTCCTCCTCCTCCTCCTGGTGGTCCTCGTTCTCCTCCTCCTGGTGCTCTCCCCCCCCCTCCTCCTCCTCGTCCTCCTCCCTCCTCCTCCTCCTCGTCCTCCTCCTCCTCTTCCTCCTCCTCCTCCTCCTCCTCCTCCCTCCTGGTAGTCCTCCCCCTCCTCCTCCTCCTCCCTCCTGGTCGTCCTCGTTCTCGTCCTCCTCGGCTCGTCTCCTCCTCCTCCTCTCTCCTCCTCCTCCTCTCCTCCTCCTCCTGGTGGTCCTCGTTCTCCTCCTCCTGGTACTCTCCCCCCCCCTCCTCCTCCTCCTCGTCCTCGTCCTCCTCCTCCTCCTCCTCCTCCTCCTCCTCCTCCTCCTCCTCCTCCTCCTCCTGGTACTCCTCCCCCTCCCCTCCTCCTCCTCCTCCTCCTCTTCCTGGTCGTCCTCCTCCTCCTGGTCGTCCTCCTCCTCCTGCTCGTCCTCCTCCTCCTCCTGCTCGTCCTTCTTCTCCTGCTCCTCCTGCTCCTCGTCCTGCTCCTGCTCGTCCTCGTCCTCCTGGTCTTGCTCGTCCTCCTCCTCGTCGTGCTCTTGCCCCTGCTGAAAATGTGGCCCAGGAATGGGAGTTCTGGGAAGTCGAAGAGCACGAAGTTGCCTACAGTTGGCTACGGGCATTCAAAATGTGGCCCGTTGGCTCGAAGTGGCCCGGGAATGGAGTTCTGGGAACTCGAAGAGCACGAAGTGGCCTACAGTTGGCTCCGGGCATTCAAAATGTGGCCCGGGAATGGAGTTCTGGGAACTCGAAGAGCACGAAGTGGCCTACAGTTGGCTCCGGGCATTCAGAATGTGGCCCGGGAATGGAGTTCTGGGAAATCGAAGAGCACGAAGTGTACAAGTACGGGAGGAAAGTTGTATGACTGTTGCGTCCGGCTATTCCGAATGTGGCCCGGGAATGGCGTTCTGGGAGGTCAAGGAGCACCAAGTGTGTGACTGTTGCATCCGGTTATTCAGAATGTGGCCTGGGAATGGGGTTCTGAGAGGTCGACGAGCACGAAGTGTGTGACTGTTGGTGAAAAACGAGCCCGGCACAGGCCCGGCCGGCAACTCCCAACGCCTGCCCGGACCCCCCTGTGGAGTGATCTGTGAGCTCTTTTGAGTCAACTAGAAACCTATCAGTCTTCGCTGTTAGGTAAATACGTGCACGCACACACTACACATACACACATATACACATATATACATACATACATACATACATACATACATACATACATACATACATACATACATACATACATACATACATACATACATACATACATACATACATACATACATACATACATACATACACATACATACATACATACATACATACATACACACATACACACATACATACATACATACATCCATACATACATACATACATACATACGTATATACATACATACATACACGCGATACGGCAATAGTATATAATCGACTGCAGGGTACGAGGCTGTAATATATATATATATATATATCGTACGTATACATGTGCACATGCATCAGCACGAACATACACATAGTATGTATTCAAATGTCGATACACATATACATATACATGTACATATGCATATATGTAACTATGTACATACATGTCTGCACATACAGACACACGTACACCTACATATGCATAGAAACATGCTCATGCACATGCACATGCACACACATACAGGTGCGCATACAGGACAACACAAGGTAACTACCACATCCTGCATGTTCGCTGGCCCGAGCCAGGCCCCTCCTGAGCCCAGGGAGCCCGAACATGCGCCCTCTCGGCCTGGCCGGGAGCGGCCTCAGGCGGCGAGCGAGGGAAGCGAAGAAGGCCTCGCCCTCCCGGCCTGGCCGGAGCGGGCCGTCGCCAGTTCCCGGCTGTCTCCCAGCCTCCGGAACCAGACCTCCTCGCGCTGTGAAAAAATCACGACGGGAAGCGTTTCGCTAGTTTCGGCCTCCGGGGTCCCTTCCCGGACTTCGGGACCGTCAAAAAACGATTCAGGATGAAAAACCGGTCCCGAGGAAAGGGTCCAGACCTCTGGGGGTCGACGTTGTGAAACAATCACGACGTCGGGGTCTGGGGATGCGTTCCAGCGGCTGCGCCTCGCCGAGGGCCCGAGTTCTGACCCAAAACCCAAACTCGGCGGCGTGCACGGGCGGGGGAGAAGCGAGAGGAAGGCCATCTCAGCAGACGGCAGGGCTTCTCGGAAGCCCTCTGTCCTGCCGAGAACTTGTTTGTGTCTTCGGGAGAGGCTTGGGAAACTTCTCAGAAGACCAGGGGACTGCCGAGCCTTCCGAAAAGGCCAGCCCCGTCTCGCTTCCCCTCCAGGCTCTGCGCCGAGGCCTGTCCAGGACCCTGGGCCCACCCTGTGATCCGAACTTGGTCTTTTATGTCATTGTTACTTGAAGTCGATTTTATGATTTTCACTCCGCAATATCGAACAAACTAAATTCAGACCGGACAACTAGGTCATCAGGCGTTGTTACTTTCGGCGTTCGGTGTTACAGACAAATTGCAACACCGAAGGCAAATACGCCCAGAGCCCGAACTATCCTGGCGAAAGACCCCGAACATATGCGGGTATCGCCTTCGAGGGACCTCCGCCTGGGAACATCAAGCATGCGAAGAGTGTGCCGATATTGGGCGGGGCCGCCATGTGGGCGCTGCCACTGGGGGGCTTTAGGCGGAATCCGCGATGGGGCCGCGAAACCACTGGGGCCCTAGGTGGACCTCCTTCCGGGGCCACGAAACGCCGTGCTGGGTGGGGGAGACGCATGTGGACACTGCCACTGGGGCCTTCGGTGGAGCTCCCAATGGGGCCACGAAAAAAACGCATGTGGACACCGCCACTGGGGTGGGGACGCATGTGGACACCGCCAATGGGGCCTGATGTGGAACTCCCGAGGAGGCCACGAAACGATGTGCTGAGTGTGGGGGACGCATGTGGACACCGGCACTGGGGCCTCAGGTGGAGCTCCCCAGGAGGCCAGGAATCGCTGTGCTGGGTGGGGAAGACGCATGTGAACACCGCCACGGGAGCATCAAGTGGAGCTCCCCATGGGGCTACGCAACGCTGTGCTGGGTGGGGGAGCCGCATGTGGACACCTCCACTGGGGCCTCATGTGGAACCCTCCATGGGGCCACGAGATGCCGTGCTGGGTGGGGGAGACGCATGTGGACACCTTCACTGGGGCCTTAGGTGGAGCTCCCCAGGGGGTCAGAAAACGCTGTCTTGGTGGGGGAGGCGCATGTGGGCACCGCCACTGGGGCCTCAGGTGGAGCTCCCTGTGGGGCCACGCAACGCTGTGTTGGATAGTGGGGACGCATGTGGACACCTTCACTGAGGCCCTTGGTGGAGCTCCCCGTGAGGCCACGCAAGGTAGGGCCACGAAGCGCAGTCCTGTGTGAGCAGAGAAAGGGATGGGAGGAGGGAGGAGGGGGAGGAGAGGAGGAGGAACGTGGCGCTGTCGCCTCAAACCGAGGTCCCAACACCAAAGGATGTTTGGGAAACGATCTTTCTGCGTCACTTTTCGAGCCTGAACGATCTTTCATGGCCCTGGAACCTAAAAACAAGCGAAAACGATCAGCGTGAAAAGATGCAAAGGGATGTCCGTTGTAGCTGCGCGGCTATGCTTCGCACCACACTGGACCAAAGCAGCCAGCGTGGAAGATCCGAGGCGTTGCGGGAATATTTTCGTTTCATGCGCATGCGCTGCTCCTCTTTGCCCGTGTGCTGTCTCGGCGGGGCTTGTTCGTCTGTTAACCCCTTCGAGAAATTGCAGCGCCTGGATCTCAAGGCAGGCCGTTTCCTGGGCCCCGGATCCTGCACCAGCATTCTGGCCGCCAGGGCCCTACCATGGGACGCCAACATCGATTCTGGACGACCCTGGTCGCCAGGATCGACGCAAGTGTACGTACCCAGACGTCCGGCGTCTCGACTTTGTTCGAAGCGCGGGCCGCCGACATCTCGGCCCCCGGGACGGCCTTTTCGTTCCGAAGCCCGAAGCCCGGTGAGGGCCCCGAAGCCCGGTGAGGGCCCCGAAAGGCCGACAACGAAACACCAACAAACTCCGCCTCGTTTTGTCGCGACTCCGGACCTATGGGCATCCCAACCGTTTTTCGTTGGGTTCTCGGTTTGAGCGGAGCACTGTCGTTGCGACCTCCTCCTTTTCATCCCGCCCCCCCTCTCCTCTCCCCCCCTCCTGCCTGCCTGCTCCCGTGCCTCATAGCAGCCTTCAGCCCTGCTTCCTGCCTGCCGATTACCCGGCCTCCTCGCCATCGCAGGGGAGGTGCGATCTGCAAAACGGTCGCCGCGCTCGGGAGCTGCTGGGGGGTCCAGCGGGGAGACGTCATGTGCGGATGCACATTTGACCTCGTCACGCCTGGAGGCTTCAAACTATGTCAACGTCACCACTTGCGATGGCTGCGGGGGGTCCAGCTGGGTGACGCCATACGCGGATTCGGACAAGACCTCCATTTCCCTGGGGCGCGGCAGTGCTGTGAAACTGTCGCCATTTTCAGGATTTGCCGGGGGGCCCAGCGGGGTGACATCATACGCGGGTCTTGCTTCGGTGACCAACGGGGTGACGTCATACGAAGATTCAAATGAAACCTCACCATCCCCGGGGCTGCGAACTGCGAAAGTCTCGTAATTTCCAAAAGCTTGCCGAGGGGTCCTGCGGGGGAGCGTCGCGCGCGGATTCGGATTACACCTCCCCAATTGGGATGCGGTGCTACGAAAATGCCGCCACTTCCACGGGCTGCTGGGGGTCCAACGGGGTGACGTCATACCCAAATTCGAATTCGATCTGGCCATGCTTTGGCTGGTTGTGTCTGCGAACTTGTCGCCCATTTCGAAAGCTGCTGGAGGGGCCAACGAGGGTAGCGTCATGCGCGGATTGTGACTCGACCTCGCCCTCCTTGGGGGGCTGCGAGCTGTGAGATTGTCGCTATTTCGAACTACGGAGTGGTCCAACACAGTGACGTCACACGCGGACTTTGCTGAATTAGACGATTTGCTTCCAGTGGGGCACCCGAACACCTGGCGGCGCGCCTGCGGACGTTTAGCTCCCGCGCTGCAGAGCGCAGGACGGAGACGGGAAACCAGGCGGGCGAGTTCGGCCTCGCTGGCTTTTTGCATTGGCTATGAGCAACTGATCCTCTGGAGCGCCAGGGAGACATGGCGCGGTCCAACGCACCAATGAAAAATGATTGCCATCCTCCTTCCTCATCCTATCACCGTCGCATTGCTGCTGTCGTGGTGGCTTTTCAACCCCGATTCCGTCCTTCTCTTGCCTCTCGTTCTCACCCCCATTTCCTGTCGGAGCATGGGGCTCTACTCCTCGTTTTATGCTGTTGCCTTGTGAGTCGTGCAACGCGCGATCTTCCCATATAACTCCCATAACCAATGACATACTCTGAATTGCCATCAGACATTCTATTGTGGACCATTCTGCTACCACGTAATGCACTTGGGTTGGGTACGTCACAGGGAAAGTTCGAGACGCCAGATGTCCAGGTATTAGTTCTGCAGCAACTCTTTGGAGCCTCCCATACCATCTTGCTTACCCTGGCGAATTGCCGCCGATTGACGCTAGATCGACGCCAGGCCACTCCAATCGACGCTGATCGCTGCTAGATCGGCGCGGTGTCATCGACCACCAGACGCTGGTCGACGCCAGTGCACTCTAAAGACGGCGCTGCGAGGGCATGCACAGCGTCCATGACTTCCAACCGAATGCCCGTGCACTGTGGCTGGGCCCGTCTGGCGCCCGCCTGCGCGGCGGCGGAGGCAAGGGCCCGGGCGTCGGCGCTCCGAGACCGCCTCCGGGGAAAACCCAACCGAGCACCGCCACCGCTGCTCCCCGCGCCTCTCCTGGGGTGCGCTCTGAGACCAGGAGCTCCGGGCGAATCCGGCGGTGGCGACGAGGGCCGCTGCAGGAGGCCCCGAGGGGGGGAAAACGGGGCAGGGGCAGCGGTGTGGGTCTAGGGCTCCCAACTTCGCGCTTCGCGCTCCGCGAAGCGCGAAGCGCGAATAACTTCGCGCCCTCGCGCCGCCCCCCCAAAGGGAGAAAAGGAGGACGAGGAGGAGGGGGAGAAGGAACGAGGACCGCGAAGCGCGAAGCGCGAATAACTTCGCGCCCTCATGGGAGCCCTTGTGGGTGTACCTCTCCCTCCGCCGGAGACCGCCTCGCATCCTCTGGCTCCTGCCGCAGCGCGTCGGCCTCCAGCTGCAGCCTGCCCGGCTCCGCGGCGCGGCCGCTCGGGCCGTGCGGCGCCTGCTCCGGGCCGCAGGACCCCACGGCGTGCCCGCGTCGTTACAGAAATCACGACGGGAGGTGTTTGCCCGTTTCCGCTGGGCGTTGCCCGACAGAGGGGGGGGGTCGGCAGAAGAAGAAGAAGAAGAAGAGGAAGAGGAAGAATAATAATAAGAAGAAGAAGGAAACAAAGAGAGGAAACATACATCCTAGCTTAGAAGAGGCCCCGCGAGGGGGGCAGGACACAGATGTAGCCCGGCTCACTGGCAAGTGAACTGCTCGAAAAAATCATCGTGCGAAATCCATTATGATCGTGAGCTGGCGGCATGATGCCATCCACATCGGCGTTACCGTGAGCTGCGGCGTGATGCCATCCACATGCATGATGCCATTATGATCGTGAGCTGCGATACCAGCACGTTCGGCGTATCGGCGCAACGACAGAGAAGCGTGCACCTTTCGTCCCCCTCATGGGCCCCAGGGGGCCTCTTTAAGGCCCGCACGGTGCGCAGGAGAAGCACCCGTCTTCACGCCCCCACTCCTCGCCCACATTTGCGCAACACCCAATGTCGGCCTTCTTGGACCCTCTCCCAGCGCTGGGACCGTCAACAAAAACGACTCGGGACGAAACACCAGCCCTGGGGAAATGGTCGGGACTTCAGCAGAACACGCAAAGAAACACCCTCATGTTATGCACCCAGACCAGCGAAACCGTTTGGTAAATGCACCCATGGCAGGAATCGAACAGGTCAGGGCTGTTTCGTCAACGCCCAGGGCCCTTTAGCAGACGCCCATCGTGGGGGTCGGGGTGGTCTTCCCTCCCTCGATTCTGGGGACCCCGTCTTGATAAACATCTGGGCATCGCATGTCTGTCGGGGAGACGTAAGACTCGCTTACGGGGGTCTTGGGTTGGCCTGACGGGGCCATCATAAAACATGACGAGGCCCAAGATGACATTTGACGCGAACTCCCGCTGCAAAACCCCACGAGCACTGACCCTCCTAATCTGGGACGCGCACGTCCAAACACGTCGGCCACCCCGAGCTCCGGCCTCCTCGAGCCTAGCCTTACGCCCCCCCCCCCGAGTCTGGGGAGGCAACCCCTGCTCTCCGCCCCTGCGCGCGCCGCCTCGGCCTCCCTGGCCCGCTGCTCCGCCCCCGCCGCGCCGTCGTCCGCGCCCGCCGTGGCGGCGGGCGGGGCCTCCGCGAGCTGCAGCCGGCCCCTCAGTGCCTCGAGGTCGGCGCGCAGGCGCTCGCGCTCGGCGCGGAGCGCGGCGACCTCCGCCGCGGACTGCTCGGCCAGCTGCTTGGCGCTGGCGAGCTGGCGCTCCGGCGAGGTCTCGTCCCCCGGTGGGCTGGCCGGCCCGCTCGGCGCACAGCTCGTCGATGGCCCCGCCACCACCTCGGCTCCCGCGTCGTCGGAGATGTCGAATCGCTCAGGCCCCGCTCGGCAGCCCCTCTCTGCTGCCAGCGCGCTGTGCCTGTCCAGCTCGGCTCTCTGCGGCCCGTGGGCGGCCTGCAGCTGCGCGCACCTGTCCTCCGACTCCGCGAGGCTCGCCCTGATCGCTTCTCGCTCGGCCGTGAGCTGGAGCAGGCTGCTCTGCGCCGAGGCCAGCTCCTCCCTGAGCGCGCCAGACTCCGCGGAGAGGGCGGCCAGCTGGCTGCTCGAGGTGGTCCTCTGCTGGAGCTGCTGCGTGAGCTCGCCGACCAATGCCTCTGAAGGGGCCCAGGGCCACACAAAGAAATACACACAAATCCCAGCATACGTACGCCATATTTCCCATATTTGTGGGATTGTCGTCTTCTCCCCCACTTCCCATCTTTTTCCCATATGTTCGAAGGAATCGACGACTAATTGTTTCTGTATGTTGTGTTTTCCCTCCTGAACCTCGGCGTCGACCAGCCGCTGCCTCAGCGGGCCCACCTCCAGCGAGCCTCTGATGAGGTCCTCGTTCGAGCGCGCGCTCTCCTGCAGCTGCCTGGCCAGAGCGGCGCACTGGCCTTGCGCCTCAGCCACCTTGGGGGCCACATGCGAAACCTACCCCTGCCTTTCGGTCGGGCGTGTCCCCCTGCAGGCGGATTCTGGACGGCAAAAATGATACAACAAATCGTCCCCAGACTATTTTTTGACTATTTTTGCATATTCCTCCTGTAGAGGGGCGGGCCCGACTTGACCCTACCCCCCGCGATTTCTGAGGGGAGAGTGGGGTCGGGCTCGCATGCGGTCCCCCTACACCTGCGCGTGGGAGTCCGCCAGCTGCTGCCTGAGCGCGCCCGACTCCACAGTCAGCGCCGCCAGCGCCTCGCTCTGCGAGACCGAGGCGCCGGCCTGTGCCTCGGCCTCCGCCAGCCTCTGCTTGAGAGACATGGCCTCTGCCACTGCCGCGAGCAGCCTCTCGCTGGCCGCGGCTCCGCTCTGCTGGAACTGCTCGGTCAGCGCGCCGACCTGCGCCTGGGCGTCGGCCAGGCCGGCCCTCAGCGCGGCGGACTCGGCGGTGGCCGCGGCGAGCGCCTCGCTGGTCCCGCTGCCCTGCTGCAGCTGCGCGGTGAGCGCGCCGACCTGCGCCGACAAGCTCCTGACCTCCTCTGGGGAAGGCAAAAGGTACTGATACCGCTGCTCCCTGGGCCTCTCCCAGGGCGCGGTCTGGATTGCGAGGCGAACCCAGCGGTGGCGACGACGGGGTCCCCAGGAGGCCCAGAAGGGGGAAAACGCGTGCAGGGTGGCGGCACGGGTGCACACCTTTTCCTCCTCCGATCCTCGTCCCTCCCCGCGAGGCGCTGCTCGAGCTCGTCTCGCTGCGCCGAGAGCCGGCCCTCGCCCGCCCGCGCCAGGTCGAGCTGCGCCCGCAGGCCAGAGCACTCGGCCGCGGCCTCCGCGAGCTCCTTGTTATTGGCCAGACCCCCCCCCCGGGGGCCCAGGATCCGCCCGGCCAAGATCGGTGTGGGCGCACGGCAGGTTCGTGCGGCGTCGGCGCGCGCAAATTTTTTTGACACCACGTCGATCGTTCAACCGTGAATCAATCGCGGCCCAAACCGTTCAAGGTTGAATTCCGTCGGTTCCCGTGGCGTTGCCCTGTCCCTCGGTGCGTCCGCATCGCAGAGTTCAACCTTGAATACATTCGCCAGCATCGCCAACGCCGCATGAACCTACCGTACAGTGGACGGCTTGAACAAGGAGCACTTACTTTTCAAAAGGGGCTCGGTCGTTCATTAGGCTTGCATGCGTTCGTTATCGTTCCTTATGCGTTATGTATGATCTAACGTTCAAACAGGCTTCGTTCCTTATTCATTGTTCCATAGGCCAGGCCGATGACTGTATGTTTGGAGCCGTCCGATCTCCATCTCCGCGCTCGCGGCCGCCAGCTGCTTCGACAGCTCGTCGCGCTCCGCCGTGAGCTGGGCGACGCTGCCGTGGGCCTGCTCGAGCTGCTGCGCCAGCGTGTCAGAGGCGCCGCCGAGGTCCTGTGTCCTCTCCAGCTGATGCTGCATGGCCGCTCGCTCGGCCTCGGCCTTCGCGCATCGCTCCGACAGGACGGCCATCTGCTTTCGGAAGGTCATGCTGTCTCCCTTGTCTTTCTCTGAGCTGGCCTCCCACTTGCGGAGCTGCACCGCCTTCTCCTGATCCTTCTGCTTCAGCGTCGCGACCTGGCGCTCCAATTCTGCCACCTGCTGCCGGCTCTCCTCGAACGCGGAGTAGAGGCGATTGACCTCTTGCGCCGTGAACGAGCGCTCCTCCTGCAACTCCTTCAACTGCTTTTGCTGCCTGTCAGAATGATGTCCTGGGCGTCTCCTGTTCGGCACTTCCGGAACTGGGGCGGCATCCATAGGGACGACTTTGTTGCCCGAATTTCAACGGAGGAAAAAACACCCAGACCGGACAGTGGGCTTTTACTAAACGGCCCTGGGCGTTTACTAAACAGCACTGCCCTGTTCGATTCCTTCTTCGGGTGCGTTTACTAAACGGCCTCGCTTGTCGGGGTGGTTATTATGGGGGTGGATTTTCTCCCCTCGAGAAATGGACCAGCGTCCGGTTTTGTTCAGCCGTCGCCCCAGGATCGCTTCGTCCCCAGTTCCACCCTCCCGACCTGTGGCCGTGCCGCCTGGGCTCGCCGAAGTTGGGCAACTCGCCCAATTTCTCCTCGCAGGAACCGCAGAACTAATTACACCAACATGCAAGCTTTAACTCGGGGGCGGCCAGGAGGGGGGCGTCCGAGAGGGGGGGGCGCAACTCATGGCCGGCGGCAGGTGCGCTTCCGACGGGGGGCCAAGGACGCAATGAAATGAGAAGAGGCTCCGTGAAATCTGGGGAGATATCATGGCCCACGCCATGAGATCCACCCCCCTAATCATCACCCCCCTCTTGGCCGCATCCGATTAAACACCAACGCTGCGTGATAAGACACGTGGTAGGTGCAGCACGGAACGCTTTCACATTCTAGAACGCAGGCACGGCACGGCATGGCACGCAGGCGCGGCAAATTTTCCACAGCCTTCTAATACGGGCACGGCACGGTACAGCACGCATACACGGCACTGCACGTTGTTCGCCTTCTGCAACACAGGCGCGGCACGGCACGGCACGCACGCACGGCACGTTCTAGAACACAGGCGCAGCAAGGCACGGCACGTGGGCAAGGCACAGCACACATGCACGGCACATTCTCTCGCACTGTAGAACACGAGCACGGCACGGCACGGCACGGCAAGCAGGCGCAGCACGGCGCATGCTGCGCATTCTGACACGCAGTCGCGGCAAAGCAGGGCACGCCAGCACGGCACCTTGTTCGCACTCTGGCAGCCAGGCACAGCACTGCACGGCACGCCACGCCACGGCACGACGGCACGCGGGCAGCAGCTTCGCCGCACCCTGGAGCCCAGGCGCGGCACGGCCCGGCGCGGCCGAGAGGACGGGCACGGCAGGGCACGCGGCAGTCTCCTCGCACCCCCGGAACCCAGCATCGCCTCCCCTGCAAAAGTCGACACCCCTCCCAGCTCTTTTGCGCGTGAGCCGTTTTTTTGTCTTGGGCGGGGCAGCTTGCGTTAGGTGTCGGAGGCCCGTGCGTGCGGAGGTCCTGCGTCGGCGCTGGACCCCCTCCCTGCCAATGGTGGCTCTCCTGTTGCCGCCCCCAGCAAGGTCCGCGCGCCAGGGAAGGGATAACGGAAGGGGGGCGCCCTGCGCTGAGCCAAGATGTTCGAGCGCCCCCCTGAAACATTGCTCACGCCATTTTTTGGATTCTCGATCTCGCGGGAGGGAAAACAAACAGCAACATCCACGCCTCGAAGGCCGCACTCGTCGGCCCAAAAATCCAAGGCGGCTCTGCGAGGAAGCCCCCTCGCTCCGTGGGATCGCGTGCCCATGGGTTATGTTGCTCCCATCGCTTTCAAAAACCACAACCTAGAAATAATTTCGAGCACCCGGAAAAATGTCGAAACAGTGTCGAACGAAACTCCCAGGGCCTGACACGTGAACACCCTCGAGTTTTGGGGTACATATTTGGTGCTCGAAATTCCTTCTGGTGGTCAAACCTAAAGTAGGTTGGAACATCACAACCCATGGGATCGCGCCTCGGTGCCCAGGCCACGCAGAAGGTGGCTGGAGAATGCGACGACGTGATGAAACAAAGAAACAGATCGTGCAGGGACGGCTCAACACGTAGTCGTACCTCGTCTGGGCCACGAGCTGCGGCCTGGCGGCCTCGACGGCGACGACAACGACGAGCCGGGCAGCTGTGCTCGCCCGTCCGCTCGCGAATGCGGCGCTGCCACCCGCTCTGGGCACTTCTGGATCGCCTGGCCGCACTATGCTTTAGGTTGCTTCTGTCGCACCTCAGGACCAAGTCCCAGAACTAATTTCGAGCACCCAGGGAAGTATCGAACAACTGTCGAACGCGTGCCGAACGAGTATCCCATCCCAAAGCCCGACACGTGAAAACCCTAAAGTGTCGGTATTTTCCTGGTGCTCGCAATTCTTCCCCGTGGTCAAGGCTACAGTAGGTTGGAACATCATAAACTATGCTCGTCGCTCGTGTCTTGAGCAGGGACCGACCGTTCCGGCATTCCTACAGGCCTACCACGAGAGTTCTCAGAACCCCAACATGTTCTGATAACGAAAACACTGCTCTTAGAACAGGAGCCCATGTGTCAAGACAGTTCCAGCCAAACATGCTCTGAGAACATTTCGTGCAACCCACCAAATCGGGGGCGGCAAAGAGGGGGGCGTCCAAGAGGTGGGGGTGCAAATCATGGCCGGCGGCATGTGCGCGGCCCATCGGGGGGGCCAGGGACGTATTGAAATAAGAAGAGGCGCCATGAAATCTGGGGAAATATCATGGCCCCTGCCATGATATCCCCCCCCCCTAGTCATCACCCCCCTCTTTTCCGCCCCCGACCAAAGGTTCTTAGAACGTTCTTTGGTGGGCCTATAGGCGAGCCGGGATGCTGCGCCACTGCTGGAGCGTCGGTCCTCGGCCTCTGGGTGGTCCTCGCCGTCGTCCGACCCGGCCGACATGCCGCGGCAGCCGCGGCAGCGGGCACCCGCCGCGGGCCCACCGCGGGCAGCGCGAGCGCGGTGCCCCGGCGGGTCTGGGCCAGCATGGCTCGGGGTCGGCCAAGAGGGGGGCGTCCAAGAGGGGGGGGGGGCAAATCATGGCCGGCGGCATGTGCGCGGGTCCGGGGGGAGCCAGGGACGTCATGGAATGAGGGCCGCGGAGATGACTACCTACCAAACCACCCCACCCGAAGACCCGAATTTCGGGTTGGGGGGGGTACGGGTTCCACATGTGTCGTTTCAATGTTCCCCGACCCCCCCCTGGGAAATGGAGGGCATATCGGGGCCTTCGGGATGGGTTGGGGTGGTTTGGTGGGTGGTGAGGTCTGGGCCGGCATGGCCACGGAGAGGGCTGGGGCCCGGAAAGACGACGACGGCGGCGGAGGCGTCGACGACGACTGCGCGCCAGCAGACTGCGGTTTTCCAGCTCGAACGCCTGGAGTGGCGGACAAGAGTGGGGGGGCGGCGGGGTCGCAGCCACTCTGGGAAGCTTCGAGGAGGCCTGCCGCAGGCGCCGACTTTCTTCGTCAAGCGAAGCCGACCTTACGTCAAAACAAAGCGGGTGGGTCGCAGCTGGGTCGCTGTTAGGTTGCAAACGCTTCTAGCACCAGCGGGGTGCCCGTCTTTCATAACAAACTCTGTACAAGAAACGAGACCCAATTTCGAAGTCAGACGCGCTCAGAATTACGAGGAACGGCAGGGAGAGACCCGAAAAAGGACCTACAATGGGCGAGTTTGCTAATGAGAGTTTGCCGTAGGCGGCTGAAGCGCTCGAGCTCGGTAGAAACGCGCGGCTGCAACCCACGCCGTGCGCGGCGCTGGGTGAAAATGCATGGCTGGAACCCACGCCGCTCGCGGCTGGAACACTCGCGATGGATGAAAATGCATGGCTTGAACCCACGCCGTGGGCGGCTGGAGCGCTCTCGCTGGGCTGGGACCCACAACGTGGGCGGCTGCAACACTCGCGCTGGAAGGCTCGAGCCGATTCCGTGGGTTGGAGCCACCTCTTCTTGTCGGCACAGGCGGCTGGAACAATTTCCCTTGTAAAAGTTGAAGGTTGGAACCTCATCCGGTGTAGGGCTACAAATAATCATAAAAAAAAGTCTGGGGGATGGTGGTGGACGGGCCAGGGGCGGTGGTCCTAGCAGTGTATCCGCGCCTCACTCCCGAACTGGGTCAGTCCACCCGCGCGCTCGTCTGTCGGTCAATCAGTCGTTGTCGGTCGTCGTCGTCGGTCCGTCGGTCGGTCGGTCTGGTCGTGTCGTCGCCTCGGTCGGTCGATCGGTCGGTCGGTCGATCGGTCGTCGTCAGTCGTCGCCGTTTCGGTCGGTCGGTCCGTCCGGTCGTCGGTCGTGGGTCGGTCGATATTTGTCGGTCGTCGTAGTTTCGGTCGTCGGTCGTCGGTCCACACCCGAAGCCACCCAAGCCATGGCACTCTAAACGCGCGCCAAGCCACTGGAGCCAAAACGGCTACGGAGGCAATGAGGTTGAAAACTAGACGTTGGACCCAATATCTGCCCGATATCAGATGCTCATTACAATCTCACGGCCAACAATAGAGCCTCATCCGAAATCAAAACCGACTTCATCCCAACATGTTGGCCGCATAATTTCTCCCAGGTTCTAAAAGCCGCGGTCGGGATCAAACGCACCGCCGTATTGCCACATGACCACGTCGTGTAATGATCTTGGCGGCCTCCTTGGCACCGAGATGGCCACCCGGATGTCCGCTCAAGCGCCCCAAATCGCCGCATAAACTCGGGTCTCTGTGATGTCAACAGTGTTACCCAACGCGAACGAAATTCTTTGAAAGGGACATCGGTGGAAACACACTGTAGAAGAGAATTTCGGAAGACTGGAGGGGTAGGATACCCTAAACCCTGCCCTGGAGGCCTGAGTTAAGCTTAGGGGTAAGCCCTGGGGACAGGCCAGGCCTAGGGGTAGGCCCAAGGGGTACGCTTAGGGTCAGCCAAGGCAAATTGAACGAGTCAGAGACCCCTCCTAATCCCTCCCTCTCTCCCTCAAAGTGTGTCACAAGTCGGCATTGGAATCGGAACTTGCTCTCACCTCGCAGACCAAAGGAGCTCGCGCGCGGCCCAGCGTCCCACGACTCGGCGACGATAAAAACTGCGCGGGCCGCGCAGGGGCTGGAGCGGCGAAGCTCCCGATGGGCGTGGCGAGGACGCAAGCTGCGCCGTGCTGGCACGCAGGTGCCAATGCCGCTCGCAAGCAACGCGGCGTTTGGGCGAGGGCGGCATGTTGCCCGCCCCCCTCTCGCGGCCCCGCTGCCGCTGACGCTCTCATGCGCTTCGGTGAAGGAGCCTCGCGCCGCGCCCGTGCTGGAACGCCACGTCCGCAGCAAATGTGCACGGAGCTTGGGCGAAGGCGGCAAGTCGCCCACTCGCGCGCCCCCCCACCCCCCCCAAAAAAGAAGAAGAAACAATTGGCGAGTGACAGCAATGTGCCGCGTCGAGGCGGGAACGCCACGTTATGCGGCATTTGCACGGCGCCACAGCGGGAGCCACATTTTCGCCCGCTCGGGCGTCGACGGAAACACACATCGTACAAACAACGTGCGCCGCGCGCGAGCGGGAGAGCACTTCGCGAGAGAGAAACTGGCGCCGCGCGCCGAGACGAGAGCGAAGTTTCGGCCTCTCGCGCGGGATGCGCGCCCCGTCCCATTTTTGTCGCGCATTTTGCAACATTGGCAACCAACACCAGGATGAGGACCATGGGGTGGTAGGTTGGAAGTAAGAAGTAGGATGGGGCATCCTGCAGAGGGTTGATCAGACCCCGTTCTAGATGCAATCATAAGCCGCCATATCCTCAGGCGGCCCAAGCAAATAGGACGCCGGCGCCTTGAACCAGACGCCAACGGGGTGTTCGCTACGCTCGCGATGTGTATCCCAGCCCTCTGATCTGTTTCAGAGTCGGACAACAACATGTCCATGTTGACAAGAAACATACAAATCTCGTGCTGTTACTCGCAACTGGGATGGGATGGCCTGACTCCGGCCGCTGTATCGGCGGGCTGCGGTGGGGGGCAGGGGTACGCACCTACGCAAAGAGTGGGGATAGGGCTGGGGTTTGGCTCTACGAATTAGGCCGTGGGAGCACGCCCAAGGCAGGCCTAGGGCTGGAGTTTGGCCCCAGAAGTGAGCCGTGGGAGCACGTCCAAGGTAGACCTATAGGAGCACTCCCACGGCAGGCCTAAGGGGATAGGTCTGGGGGCAGGCCCTAGACCTCAGGAGCACGCCCAGGGCAGGCCCAGGGGCGGGCCCTGCGCGTGCGCCTCGGGCAGGCCTCTGAGGGGGCAGGCCCTCGGTGCACGCCTCGTCCGGGCAGGCCCAGAGTAGGCCTCGGGGTAAGCCTGCCTTCCAGGCTCGGGGTGGTCGGGCGGGCCGCGGCGATGCCTGTGCGTGGTGGCGCGCACGCAGCGCGGGATCGGGCAGGCGAGGCACGAACATGTGATGCAGATTCGCGCTGACAGCGCGAGAGGGTCGGCTCGGGCGGGCGGGACGCTAAAGTGTATGCATAAGTAGATAGGTACGCGCGCAGGGCAGAATCGGACGACAACGACGACGACGACGATCCTGACCACGACGACGACAACGACGACGACTCCGCCCCAAGCGGGCCCCCGGCCCGAACAAACCCCCGTGGAGCTGAACAAGCACCAGTCTTCGGGGCCGAGCCCGATCGCGGTGACAATGCGGGCTCGCCGAAGGACCCCGACACCCCTTGGGCCTCCCCGCGCGGCGACGGTGGCAGCGGCTGGAGCGTGGGCGGCGGCGGCCAGGCCGGCTCCCTCCTTCCCTCCCTCCCTCCCTCCCTCCTCCTCCTGCCTCCTGCCTCCTCCTCCTGCTCCTTCCCTCCCTCCCACCCTCATCACCCTCCCTGCCTCCCTCCTCCTCCTCCTCCTCCTTCTCCTGCTGCTGCTCGTCATCCTCCTTTTCGTTGCCCCGCCTTTGCAACGCGTGTGTAGTGTCCTCCTCCTCCTCCTCCTGCTCCTCCTCCTCCCCTTCCTCCTCCTCCGCCCTCCCCTTCCTCAGCCCTCCTCTCTCCTACTGCCCCCTCCTCTGGGGGAGCGCTGACGGGGTATCAACGACACGCCGCCGCGGGGAACCCACCAGCGCGTTACTGCTGAAGGAAGGGGCTGCAGGGCTTCGGACACAACAACAGAAGGAACACGCTGACAGGCTCAAGTCGGGCCTGTCCCTCTACAGGAGGAATGTTCCCAAATAGTCATAATTTGCCCTGGGGACTTTTCTAAAACAAATATGTTTGACCATTTTGGACGTATGTTTTGTCTATCTTAAAAGTTTCGTCCCAAATCCGCCGGCAGGGAGACATGCCCGACCTGATGACAAGCTCCCACTGGCGGCGTGCCATTGGTTCTGTTTTCCTTCTAGTCCGGCCCCCTCGCCCGGCCAAGCCGAGCCGGCGCGCGGGCCGGCCGAACCCGAGGGCGACGACGACGACGACCACGACGACGACAACTTTGGACCCCACGACGACCACCACGACGCCGACCACGACGGCCAGCATGACGACGACGACCGCCACGATGACCACCACGACGACGAAGACGACCCCCACGACGACGACCACCACCACGACGACGACAACTTTGCGCCCAATGACCCCTCCCGAGACTGAGTAGCACAAATTTCCGCAGCGGAGCCTGGTTCTGGCGACGAGGCGGTCATCCCTGGGGGCCCCCCCGGGGCGGGTCGGGGCTCCCCTGGGACCTTGGAGCCCCCCCGGGGCCTCCTGGGGAAGGCGGGGCTTCCGGGCGCCCTCTGGGGTTCCCCGCGGACCCCCCACATGGAGGGGGCTCATTGCAAGCGTCGCCGTCGTCGTTCTCGTCGCCGCCGCCGCCGCAGCCGCCGCCGTCGCCGTCGCCGTCGCCGTCGTCGCCGTCGTCGTTGTCGTTCGCTGTCGTCGTCGCCGTCGCCGCCGCCGCTCTCGCCGCCGCCGCCGACGTCGCCGTCGCCGCCGTCTTCGCGTGCACCGCGCGCAGCGCTCGCGCAGTCGACACCATCATCATCATCATCATCATCATCATCATCATCATCATCATCATCATCATCATCATCATCATCATCATCAGCATCATCATCATCATCATCATCATCATCATCATCGTCATCGTCATCGTCATCGTCATCATCATCGTCATCATCATCACCACCATCATCGTCACCATCATCATCGTCGTCATCATCATCATCGTCATCGTCATCGTCATCGTCATCATCATCGTCATCATCATCACCACCATCATCGTCACCATCATCATCGTCGTCATCATCACCATCACAAACACCATCACTATCACAAGCACCATCGCCATCATCATGATCATCATCGTCATCATCACCATCATGGATATCGTCATCGTCATACTCGTCATCACCATCGTTGCCATCATCATCAGCAACAACATCATCATGATCATCATCAGCATCGGAATCATCATCACCAGAGTCAGAATCGACATCTTCACCGTGCTCATCACCCTCATAATCATCGTTACCATCACAACCTACATCATCACCAACTAGTAACATCATCGTTACCATCACCATCACGGACGTCATGATCACCCTGATCATCATGAGTGTAATCATCATCGCCATCACACCATCAACATCACCATCACCATCACCATCAGCAACAACATAGTCATCATCATCCCCAGCATCGGCATCAGCATCATCAACAGCAACAGCATCATCGTCAACATCACCATCAACGACAATAGCATCAACATCAACATCTATATCAATATTGTCATCCTCATCATCACCGACATCATCATCCTCCTCCTCATCATCCGCATCATCCTCATCAACATCCCCAACATCATGCTTGTCATCCTCAATACCCTCATCTTCCTCATCATCATCATCATCATCATCATCATCATCCCCATGACCCGCATCATCCGCATCGTCTTTATCGTCAGTATCGTCATCATCATCATCATCATCATCATAATCGTCATGATCATCGGCATCACCGCCATCAGCATCGGCATCAGCATCGGCATCAACATCAGTATACGTATCAACGAATGTGACATCAACACCAACATCATCACCATCACCATCGCCATCACCGTTACCATCACCGTCACCATCACCCACACCATCACCATCATAATCTCCATCAGCGCCAGCAGCAACATCATCAGCATTCTAATCGTCATCGGTATCGTCGTCATCGTCGTCGTCATCATCCTCATCATCCGCATCATCCTCATCATCATGATGATCACCCTCCTCCTCATAACCATCACCATCACCACCATCAGCGTCATCGTCCTCATCTTCATCCCCATCCTCATCCATCACCATCACGATCACGATCACGATCACCATCACCAGCACGAGCATGAGCACGGGCATGAGCATGAATATGAGCATGCACATGCCCATGAGCATGAGCATGCGCATGAGCATGCGCATGAACATCAGCATTAGCGTCAGCATCAATATCAGTATAACCATCATCACCCTCATCATCACCATAATGACGTTTCTGGAGCGTGGCGGCATCGTAAGCTGCTTGGGCAGGTCTTAGACCACTGGGCGGGCCTCGGGAGGAGCAGGTGGGACCACATATTCCAGAAGGGTGGTTCCGGAGCATTGCGGATGACATCGTACGCTGCGTGGGGCAGTCGCAGACTACCGGGGTGGCCCTCGGGAGACAAAAGTACCACTGCCACCAGCTAGGGGGGTGGCGGCTCCCTTCCCTGGAGCTGGTGGCACCTCCTTCCGGGAACTCTCTGGAGGCATGCCCGGAACGAGGTACCACCAGCTCGAGAGGGTGGGACAGCCACCCCCCTAGCTGGTGGTAGTGGTACCTGTGTTTCTGGTGATTATCGGCACCCTCGTAGGGACATCCTGGGCCGTCTTGGGGGTCCGTGGGGCCGTCGTGGAGCGCGGGGAGGCCCAGAAGGCAGAAACTGGAAATCCGCAAACGACCTCGAGAAAACGAATGCGTTTGGCGTGTTGGGGCCCTCTCGGAAAAGCTTTGGATGCCTTCTTGGGCGTCTTCGAGACCTCTGGGGCCGCGTGGTTGCGAACTTGAGCGATTCGGGGATCCTTGGATCGTCTGGGGAGGCTCTCGGGAAAGGTCGGGCGTGTCCTCCTACATGGGGATTTTGGACGAAAGCGAGAGATAATCAAAACATATCTCCAAAATAGTCAAACATATTCGAAACATCCTCCCCAGAGTATTGTCTGACTATTTTGGAATACGCCTCCTGTAGAGGGACACGCCCGAATGAACTCTCGGGGGTCTGGGTGGTGAAAGAAATTTGGGGCAATTGTATTGCAAATGTATTGCGCCGGGGAATTGTATTGCACTGTATTGCAAGAACTCTACTGCACGCGAAGTACAGCAATACATCTGCGCCCCGAAATATACTTCACGCCCTGAATTTACTGCAACCCCACAAATCTATTGTACCAAATCTATTACACCACCCCCTTGTCGCTGGACCCCTTGTGAGTCAAACCGAATCAAGATGATATCACGTTGCTGAATTAATGAATTCAGGCGCGAACTCGGCCGACGACTTTTCTGTCAGCAGAACGCGCGGGTGCCACAGCCAAGTGGTGGCTATGACCAATTATCTGGGCAGACCTGCGCTGGTCGCGGTCTACTTCATCAAGCTGGCCCCCTCCAGGGGCGCAAGGCTACAAAGGTGTGTGCGGTCTGCTGTCATGTGTTATGTGTTGTCATTTGTTGTTTGGCCTTTTTGTCTCTCCAGTCCTGTTTCCTGCCTCCTGTTTACTGTCTGCTAGGGGGGCCCGACGCGCCACCAAACAGCCAACGGGGGGGGGGAACCTCAAATCCTGTCTGCTCCGGGCCACCCCAAGATTCTCATGGTGACGCCACCGCGCGGCCAGAACGGCCAGAGAGGCCTCCAGGATTGCCCGAAGAAGCTCCGAAGAGAGCCTCAGGAGGCCAAGACGGCCCAAGATGGCCCCAAGATGTCCCACGTTGGCCCCAAGACGGCCCAAGATGCTCCCAAGACGGCCCAAGAGGCCTCCAAGAGGCCTCCCAAGAGTGCCCCACGAAGGAAACACATCAACGAGTTTCCAAATGTTTTTGAAGGTGTTTGGCCTTATCGCCTTCTCGGCTTTCCGACGCTCCGAGACGGACCAAGAGGTTCCCAAGGTCGCCACACGACGGCCCCAGAAGCCCCCATGACGGCCCCAAGAGGCCTCCAAGACGGCCCCAAGACGGCCGAAGAGGCCCCCAAGACGGTCCAAGAGGCGCCCCAGATGGCCCAAGAGGGCCCTAAGACGGTCCCAACAGAGGCCCAAAAGGGAGTCCACGAACCGAAAACTCGACCTTTCCGCCCCGAGGGGGCCCCAGGAGGCCCCAAGAAGACCCCCAAGAGACCCAAGATGTCGCTTCCAAGAGTCCCCAAGGAGGCCTCCAGGAGGCCCCAAGGGACCCCCAAGAGGCCCCCAAGGAGAACTTCAGGAGGCCCCCAAGGAGACCCCCGCGCAGCCGCCCGCACTGGTAATAGGGGAGCCGGCGGCAGAGGGCGAAGCCCTTAAGAGAAAGAGAGAGAGAGAGAGAGACTCGCAAACCGCACCCTGGCGTAACCGCACCAGTTGTAGTCGCCGATTATAGCCCCATAGTCTTAAAGGCCCTATAGCCCTATAGCCCCATAGCCCTAAAACATATGATTGGTTGTTCCTCCTGTATCGGTATCATATATACAAATATATTACGCCAGGGGAACAACCCAATCAATGGATGGTTTGATCGATCCACAAATCGACCAAAAACCCAGGAACCCAGAACCCACCGAAATCGATCCGGAACCAATAACCAAGGGAACCCAGCCGGCCAGCACAATCGGCGGGACACTTCCGCCAAATCTTCCAATTTCGACTAGGACCCCTTCAGTGCAAGCACTAATTGGGGAATCTATTTATATATTATATTATACATACAGATATGTGTGTGTGTCGGCGATGCATCGGCGATGCGCTCACTGGCGACGTCGGCGACGACTCGGCGACGAGGGCGATGAGGAAATCGGGCTCCACATCGAGCCCCAGCGCCGACGCATCGCCGATGCCTCGGCGATGCGGCGCGACCCTCCGACCCCCTCTGACTCCGATCCCCCCTGGGTGGCCCAAAGAAACGCCCGAGACGATGCACCCCCCCCGATTCCCGGGCGATGCCGGGCGGGGAAGCACAGGGGCGGGGTGCGGCGGATCCGCTCCTTCTGCGCCCGTGCGTCCTCCCGCCGCTGGATGTGCATCATGATCTCAGCGTCCGTGAGGGTGCACCTGCAAAGGGGGCGCAGGAGCCCGATCTCAGAATCCCACCAGCCCTCTGAGCGTAGGCAGGTGGTCGAGGGCGGCTCCTCTTCCAACCCCCTCTTCCCCTTTGGGGAAGGTTTTTTTACCCCCTCCCACCCACACCCCTCCCCTCCCCTGGCCCTGGAGGGTGCACCTTCGACGGGGGCGCAGGAGTCAGTTTTTGTTTAATTCGAGGTTGCGCCCGTGCTCGGGCGCAGAAGCCCCTTCTTCTGGCAGATCTGCTTCGACAGGGCACTGCTGGCCTCGCCCCCCTCCCCCTTCCTGCCCAACCCTGGCCACGTCATGATTCGCGGCGGCGCCGTCTGGGGAATCGACCATTCGGGATGAAGCATTCCCAGACGGCGTCGGCGCGACTCGTGACATGACCGGCCCCCCCCTCCCCCCCCCTGGGTCACGCCCGTCATCGCCAGGGGATCGCCAGGGGAGAAAACAAGAACAGCTTCCAGGGCGCAGCGTGGAGCAAGGAGTAGTCCGAAAACGAGGCCGCGCCTGGATCAGAGCGATGAGGGCCGAACGGTCTTACACGCGACCTCTGGGTGCGCGGGAGAAGTGGGATTCCGTGGCCTGGATCAGCTTTTTGTTGGTTGAACTGTTGTTTGACTTCCCGTGTCTTAAAAAAGAAATCATTCTTGATCGCCCCTGTGCTTTGCCCGCGGCTTTTTTCCATTGAACTGCCCCTCCCGAGGCTCGCAACATAAAAAAACATGTTTTTTGTACGAAACACCCTGAGGCTTAGACAACCCCCTGAACTACAACAACTACGGCTCCCGCGTGATATGTCCTCGCAATGTTTTCAAAATCGCGCTCTCGCTCGGGTAACCAAGTGCGGCGCTATTATTGAAACGCCGCGCCCCCAACACTCAGGAAGCACGCTCTCGCTCAAGATGTCCTGACGATTTACTTTGATCGCGCTATCGCTGGAGACTTCCTCGCGATTCCTGCAAGACTGGCGCTTCAACGACCCACCCGCTCGAACCCGCCTTCGAGGCCCGCTCGCCCGCCCCGCCCCGCCCGTCTGGTTCTGCCGCTTTCGTCGTTCTGCTCCTAAAACCCTCCTGCTAATATGATGTCGTGCACCATCCGTCTCTCTCCTCGTTGTCTCTTCCCTCCCCCCTTCTCCTGTTTGAGGGCTGCGCCGACTACACGTGGGAGGTAAGGAAGATACACCCCCAGGGGTGGTATGAACGAAGACGAAGAGGGCGGGTATCGATGGTTTGGCATATACATGCTGAATGGCACGCGACCAACAAACAAGCGAATACTATTGAAATGAGTGTTGTTGTTGCTGTTGGTGTGGTTGTCAGTGTTGCTGTTGTTGCTGATGTGGTTATTGTTGTTGTTGTCGTTGTTGGTGCTGTTGTTGCTGTCGTCATTGTTGTTGTCGTTGTCGTTATCGTTGTTGTTGTCGTCGTCCCACCTGCGACCCACCCTCGACCGCCCGCGCCCGCCCTCTCACCCTTATCCGCAACTGCGGGGTGCCACGTAAGAGAGGGGCAAGCCAACAGCTGGGACGCGCGGGCAGGAAGAATCCCGCCAGAGACAAGCCAACAAGTCACAGCACCACAGCCGACCTGTATCATGAGGATGCGCGATAAGCATGCAAAGGTCTTGGAATGCCATTTCGAAGCCTTTCGAGCGGGGCGTGGCCAACGGAAGTGGCCAAGGATGAACCGAGGAGGCAAGGGCGCAAGGGTACCCTCGGGAAGGTTGCCCATCCTGACTATGCGGGTTGACTGTAATGGATGTGCCAGAGGTTGGGTGGCGATCGTCAGCCCGCAGATCGCGGGGGGATCGGGAGGGTTCGGGGATCTTCTGACCCCGGTCAATCCAGACCCAGGTCAGCAGGAAACCAAAACATTACAATGCAGGAACAAAAAACTGCAACGCAGGTCTTCGCAAACCCGGGTCAGCCAATATGCACGGCCGCCTCGCGACCACAAGCGGCTGGCTAACCCGGGTCAGCCAGAGGGGGTCTTCGCAGGATTCTGCAAGATATGGGGCTCTGGCTGACCCCCGTTTGCATTGACCCCCGTCTCAAGGCCCTTGAGACTCCCGAAGGGGGAGGATCGGAGGCGCCCGGAGGGAAAAAGCACATGGGGGGCCCGCCTCCTCCGAAGGCGGCGCTTCTCGGAGAAAACCTCCCGCCCTCTCTCCGAGCAGCCCTCCCCACCCTCCATCCTCCTCCTCCTCCTCCTCCTCCTCTTCCTCCTCCTCCATCCGTCCTTCCTCCCTCCCTCTCTCCCTCCCTCCTCCTCCTCTCCCTCCTCCTCCTCCTCTTCTTCCCTCCAGACCTCCTCCGACGCCGCAGAGGGCCTCCCCGGGGAAGGCGGGAGGGCTTCCCAGCAACCCGGCCGCGCTCTCTCCACGAGGGCCGGCCGCCCCTCCTGCCGTCCACCCTGGGGGCGCCGCCGAGAGGAGCCGGGACCAAGGGCTCGACGAGAGGGCAGAAAGTCCACCCCGAGAATGACAACCCTGACCAACACACAAATACAAAACACACACACACACACAAATCCCCCAGGATTCCCCATATTTTTCATTATTTTGGGGACCTTCGTCTTCCCCCCCCCGCTTCCCAGGTGTTCGCATGTTTTCCTGGGGATCGACGATTACTTGTGTCTGCGTGCTTGTGTCCCTCCTGAATAGGAACCTCCCCGACACGCGAAGCCGTTCAACAAACGCACCCAAAAAGGGAATCAGACAGGGCAGGGCTGTTCCGGGTGGCTTTTCCTTCCTTGACGATGTGCACACCGTGACGTTGGGTCGCCAGGGGGGGTCGGTGTATGGACGCCCCCGCCTCCTCACACGTGGGACATCGGAGCGTCTGCGAACCCCAATTCGCTGGCCGGCCACACGATGTGGTGATGGATCGGGGAGCTCCGAGGAGCGGGCTGTGCAGGACGGCGAGGAGGCGGCCACGTATGAGGATGGGGGAGAGCACGAAGGAAGGGCTGAGTATGAGGATGATCTGATGATGATGCTGATGCTGCTGATGATGATGATGATGCTGATGATGATAATGATAATGATAATGATAATGATGATGATGATGATGATGATGATGCTGATGATGATGATGATGATGATGATGATCATGATGATGATGATCATGATGATGATGATAATAATGCGGATGGCGAGGGGGATGAAGTGGAGGGGAATCATATAACAAATGATACTGAGGGATAAGAAGACAGTGTTCGGCATCTGCGCAATGATCTGTCTTGGGTTGAACAGCGGCCAGCTTTGAAGGAGGAGGCATGGAGGTCAAGCAGGATGACAGGAAGGAGAAGGACGCTGAGAGAGCTATGCTATCATGTGCAAGTGGTGTAGGAATGCAGATGGTTGAAGAATGCTGAAGGAATTACAGGCGGGTTACCGGAATGAAGCCAAATGGCTTCGCTGACTTGCCCAAACGTTTCGGCGTGCCTGCCTGATGAGAAATGTAACCGTGGCAACACATGCGGAACGTCCAGACACTTCACGCAAGCGCCATCACTGCAATCATCATTGGCCTCCCCCTCAACTACCACCACTACCACTACCACTACCAATCCCACTACTTCTACTACTACGACGACGACGACGACGACTACTACCGCTACCATTACTATACTACTACTGGCGCGCCTCAATATCAAACCTCCTTTTAACGCCGCAAACCTCGGCAAGTAAGCCCCAACGCCTCACTGAGAAGCCCGGCGAAGGCTGGCAAATCCGTGGCTGCTAAAACGGAGCTCTGGGGATTTGTTTTTTTCTTCCGGGAAGAAGCCTGTTTACTCTTCAGCGCGCTGAGATTTATTCCTGGAATTTGTTTTTGTTCCTTCTGGGAAGACCGTTTTAGCAGCCAGGGATTTGCCAGCCCTCGCCCAGCTTCCGAGCCTCAGTGGCGCCCTGGGTACTGCTTCATACTGCCTCCTCCTCTGACCGTCTGCTCCCGCTGCACGCCCGCAGCCCGCCAGGCAAAAGGGGGACCACGGGCACCTGTCAACCTCGCAACCGCTGCCTCCGGTAATAATGACTCCCTGCACGCGCGCGGCACGACCAATGCAGGGGTGCGCGCGGAACTCGAGGATGGCGGCGCAGATCAGAGAGAGTGGGACTTGTGGACGGCGTGTGTTTTCGTGCATTACTAGGGGGAAAACAAACCTACCTCGCGTTTGACCACCCTCGCTTCCAAGAGATACCAAACGATGCCAAAGTACAGCCTGTACTGGTCAGGCCGCTTGACGAGGAGGCGCGTGGTATGGCTTGGTTTTGCCTGGAAGCGAAAACGGGGTAGGTAATTCACGCTCTGAATACCTTCCCGCTTCCGGGCCCCCTGGGCCCTCCGCCGGCCCCGGGACAGTCCGCAGCACGACTCGGGAGTGGGAGCTGCACCCCGCCGCGGGGAAAGCCCCAGGGTCCAGGGCCCGTTGCCCTTGGGTGGAGCGTGTCCTGCGGCGAGCGAGGGGGGGCAGCGAGAGGGAGAAGGCCTACTCGGAAGGCGGCGGGGCTTCTCTGAAGGCTGGAGGCCTGCCGAGAGGCTTTCTGCGTCTTCGGGAAACGCTTAGACAGAACACTTCGCGGGAGGCCGACGGACTTCCGAGCCTTCCGAGCAGGCCTGCTCCTTCTCGCTTCCCCCCTGGGCTCGCCGCCGACGTGCGGCACGTGATGGTGTGATGGCGTGAGCTGTGAATGGCAAGACAGAACGGCATGCGGGTCTGGCGGATGGCAGCTGGAACGCGTGGACGGCCACACGAATCAGGGTGCACACGCAACTCACACGAGGGCGGCCAAAGACAACGAGAGAGAGAGAGAGAGAGAGAGCCGCTACAACCCCGACCATGCCCTGCCAGGAGAAAAAGGAGAAGTTAAGGGAGGGCTGCTCAAAGCAACTCAAAGTAACATGTTCGGGACCTTTTCCCACGTTCTCTGCGCGCAGATTCGCAAACTATTGCTG